GTCAAGCGCTTCAAGTCCGAAGCCCTGACAGGCGAATCCGCTCAGCCGGGAGACTCCGCCCTGCGAGACTCCATGACGGATTACTCCACCGACGCAGAGAACAACGACGCCGAGGAGTTCGAGCTGCTAGCGCACATCCCGCCCGTGGCGCGGACCCGCTCGACGAGGCAGGTCGACGAGCCGGTCAACAAGTCCACCTACTGGACCGCCGGCGACCGCAAGTCGTACCACCTCCGCTACCCGGAAATGACGCAGTTCCAGCTCGACGCCTTCCGCGCGGCGGCGGCGGAGCGGGGCGAGGAGTTCGCTCCCGGCGGCAAGACGCCCCTCTGGGACCTGGCGATGAAGTACTTCCCGCCCACGCACTACGAGCAGGTCGTGTCCAAGACACCTTTGGACGTCGAGACCGTCTCCAACGCATCGGCCGACAACAGCCGAGGAAACAACGGAGCAGACGAGATCCCACCCACCGCCCACTCCCGCCCCTCCTCCCCGGACATCCCGGACACTCTCGTCCCAGCCCACCACCTATCCGCCCCCAACCCCCAAGGGAAGCGCATAGTCGCCTCCCTAACCTCAACCCCGCAATCCACAATCCCCAACATAACCCTGCACATTACCGAGTCCGTCCTCTCCTGGGGCCGCGGCCCCGAAAACACGCGGCAACATTTTCCCTCCTCGGAAACCAAGGTCCCCAAATATGCCTTCAAAATCCTGCTCTACAAGCCCGGCTACGACCCCAGCCGCGACTTCAGGCCGTGGAACCAGAACCTCTCCCGCACGCCGGGGGCCGAGGACGCCTACCACTTCTACATCTCCACCAAGTCCACCCGCGGCATCCACGTCAACGACCACCCCCTCCGATCCTACGACGCCAAGAACCCGGCATCCCCTTCGCGGTACTGGATGCGCCTCCACGACGGCGACAGGATCGTGGCCTGGGTGTGGGAGGACCTGCGCAACCCTTCCACCCCCCGCACCGAACTTGAATTGCGCTGCGCCTGGGGCGGGTCGTCGCGCCCTCGCTCCCCTGCGGGCGGGTCTACTACACCGGCTCTGGTTGACGAAGCGACAGCCAGAAAACTGGACGAGCTGCTGGCCAAGGCGGAGAGGAGGGTTAAGCTGAGCGACGAGCACGATTTTAAGATTGCCGAGGCGGAGATCGATCGCAACGAGCGCGCGGAGGACGCGGCGGGGGAGAGGGAGAGGAGCAGGGTTTTCGAGCAGAGGAGACAGGAGGCGAGGAGGTGGCTGGCGGAGAAGAGGGGGAGGAAGAGCGAGAGTAGGAGTCGGAAGGGGAGTCCCGCGCTGTCGAGTGTTGGGGGAGTCGGAAGGGGGAGTCCGGCGCCCGCGCCCGGGGGAGGGGGGATGGTTGGTATGAAGACTGTTGCCGTGAGGGGGCGGGGGAATACTACTGCGAATGAGGGCGAATAAAGAAAGAAACGGGTTGCGCGCGGTAACCTCCCTGGGGAGGAGAGTCGGAAGGAAAAAGGAAAGGCAAGATCTTGGGTTAGATGGTGGTGAGATGGTGTCACACTGTATTTGGGCTGAAAAGGATTAGGGATGTGGGCGATACGGATATGGTCGGGAGTTCAATGATGTAAACGGCTGGCAGGTATGGTACATGAAGAAGTAAAATATCAATTATGTGTACCCTCTTGGGATCTGATAGGTCTTGGGATTTTATTGATGGTTTCTGAGTCGAGGTGCTGAGTGTCCGGAGGTAAGCCAACGCCTCACCAACTTCTGTGTTGCCGCATACACTCCATGTCGATACTAGTCAGTCATACCACGGCTGTTATTGCATGAGATCGACCTGCTGACTCAACTCGCAGATCCGGGGAAGATGGTCCATCGATCAACACATGCCGAAATGGGGGTGCTTTATTCCGGCTCAGGCTATTTGCCTGCAATTATATCGCAGTACTATACCACGGAGAAACCTCGACATCACTCAACTCTGCCTCCAAATATGACATCCAGGTCTCCTACCTCCTTCACAGGGTAAACTGGTTCGAGTTTCTCCAACTCAATATGACAGCGTCTTCTGGTAGGAGGTTGACGATCGCCACCGCCAGTTTGGGAGCCGTGGCCTATTTTCAGTTCAACAGGGCTATAGCACCGCATGCACCACTCCCCTCCCAGTTTCCTGGCTTCGGTAGAATCAAAGTCAAGGACTCATACATATAACCCCATCCTCGTCCTTCAACCTCTCACGAACTCCTTCCCTCGAACTTGGCGCCTCCATCCAACTACCATCAACTACAAGTTTCAACCCCCAAAAACAACGCGCCAAAATGCTCTCCCCCTCCCTCCTCCTCCTAACCCTCGCCACCACCCTCCCCCTCACCACCGCCCAGACCACCGGGCCCGTCACCGCCCCCCCGGGCTACAGGGCGGTCTACATAACCTCCAAGGTAGACGCCAAGTTCGTCGTCTCCGCCAAAACCCCCGTCAAGGCCGGCAACACCATCGTCGTCAACACGCAGGCCGCCAACAAGCCCGAGCAGCAGTGGTGGCTCACGGCCACGACGGGGGACAGCAAGATCCAGCTCGCCAACACCACCTTGTGCCTCGACGCGGGCGCCAAGACCACCTGGAAGGACATGGCGAACATCTACGTCAAGGACTGCACGGCCGACGCGGCGGACCCGAGCCAGCTGTGGAATGTCATGGCTGATGGGAGGATTGCGTTGAAGGCTTCTAGTCCCCGTGAGTACATACCCTATCTGGGGATTGATGGAATGGGGGAGAGGGGGGATGGGAGGGGAGAAGGAGAAGAACGAGATGCTAACGGGGAAAACAGAGGAGTGTATCGACCTCCAGTACATGCGCGCCACGGCGAACAACCCGGTTGGACTGTATGCCTGCGCCGGGCTGGGGAACACGGGGGCCGCTGACAAGGGGATTAACTGGCCGCTTGTGAATGTCACTGCCGGCGCGGCGTGAGAGACCGGTTGAGATTAGATACCTCTTAGTTGTAGGTTGGGAAAGCGGAAGAATAAACTTGGGGTTTTTGTGATTAAGTGTAAGCCCGTCAAAATCCGTCGCGGATATTAGGTGCTTGTATGATACTTGCCCCCAGCTCTTCCCCCTTACGGCAACTGGAAAGGAGCCCTCTCTGACCTCGTCCGTCGTTGATACCTTATAAAACCCAGGCACTGCTTGCTATATATAAACCATCTAACATAAAAGGGGGGAAAAAGTGTCTCACATACACAAGAATTCGCCAGCACCAGGCTTCGTCCAAGCCGACTCCCGTCTCCCGTAGAGATCACTCCCACTCTCCCAACATAGAGCATCTCTTGACGCCAAAAAGAGATAAAACTGGACAACACTGCTAGACATCCCGTCCCCAGCGTCCAGAAAACAGTAAATTCCAAAAAGAAACAACCACTGCCTAGCAGACATTGGTCGCATAAACTCATGCGGTTTGTGTGGATCGAACACACGACCTTCAGATGTACTTTCGTATTGATGAAGTTTGGACTTCAGTCTGACGCTCTCCCAACTGAGCTAAACCCGCTCGATGGTGGAAACGATGTTGTTATTGTGACTCGTACAATCATGGTACGATTCGGGAAAGTGGAGGTGAAGGGTTCGCTGTCGCCGGGGCGGGACGTGGTGTTCATGACTCGGGTGTCGTGAAAGGGTGGATGGGGTTGTGGGTAGTGGGTTTGCGGAGGTTCTCTCCGGGACTTCGTGCCGTCCCGTCGGGCGGAAGAAGAGCGTTGAAATCGTAAGGGCAGTCCATCTCTCCGTTCGGGCACTTTCAATGCCCCTCCAGCCCTGGCTATGTATGGCAATTTCCATAGAACATGTCGTCGTATAGAGATGGCCCTGTGACGTCGAGGTCTTCGAACCAGTCCTGCCCTCTTGTAGTTAGGCGTGGTCTAGTTCCGAGCGCAGGAGTTGTTGGCAGCTGCTCCGACCTCTGTCGCTGCTGGTGTCCGCTGTTGGAAAGGGTGGGAGATGATATGCGGTCGCGGGAACTGGTTAGTTGGTCTGGCGTCCGGTGTACACTCTGTTGATCGTTGGCCGTGTCCTTAAATCTGGGTACCGTTGGGTCGGTCTGACGCCGAGGAGACCGCGAGGTCGGATGGCGAGGATGTGTTGGTCCCTGTGGACGGTCTTTTCGCAAGTCTGCTTCCTGCCTGGTGTTGATGGTATCTTCTTGTTCTGGTCCCTTATATAGCCTCGAGTCCATCTTGTGGCCCAGCGAACCAACCTTGTGGCGGAGAGCACGTGCTGCTCGCTTTGCAGCCTTCTTCGGCAGATGGTGCTCCTTTTTCTGAGGGTTGTAGACGCAATCTGTATGCTGTGCTTTTGTTGAAGTCTTGCTCTTTGCGTGGTAATGGTGATGGCGATGGTGATGGCTCGATGCCGGTTTCGGGTGATCGCTGGGCATGAATGCCAGCGAGAAGATCATCAGGAGAGCCTCTGCCATGATGAAGACTGTTAGGTGTCGCTTGTAAATAGAGAATCGGTTGACAATAGAGATTTGCGTTCAAGCCTCTGGTAAGTGTTGCTTCAAGAGAGAATAAGAGTTGGTAATACTGCGAGGGAGCGCTATGGTATTTATGTGCGGTCCGGAAACACAAAATGGTGTTTGAAGCTTCAAACTTAGAATTGCGCGGATTTGAGCATGCAAATTTCGAAATGGTCGAAGGTTTGCAATTTGAACTGGAGTCCAGATGAAGTAGTATGCACGCATGACTCCCAACCCCTGGCTGATGCAAAAGATGAGGCCATCACCGGCATTGTCCCAATTTCATGCAGCATGATTCCCCTAAGGCCTAATGACGCTTCATCTCAAACTTGGTTCTCATCACATACGCAATAGTCTCCAGCATGCTCGGCCATGAGAAGGCACAACAGCAAAAAGATGCTTCCATCTCTGGCTATCATCTCTGATCAGGTACCTACCCTACACGTCTCCCAAGCAAGGGGGGGGGGGGACAACAAAAAGGAGAACTCCTGGCCCTAGAGAGCAAAAGGAAGGGTCTGACCGGGGATTGAACCCGGGACCTCTCGCAAGCTAGGCTTTAGGGTGTACCCTAAGCGAGAATCATACCGCTAGACCATCAGACCGATGCCACTCATTGCTGGGTAGGCTTGTTGATAGAGAGGCAGGTCGGTAATGCGTTAGATGTGGTTGAGGGGCAAGAGTTTGCAGTGTTTGAGTTGTTATTGGTTCGTGGTTGGGTTTGGATGGACCGGAACGGGGCCGGGCGACGGTGAATGACTCGACCGACCGGAGGCCCACCATGCCGGTCCACTTCCTCGGGGACAGAAGCTTCAGGAGCTTGACTGAAGAATGCTGCGGCAGAACAAACAACAGACCAAAACGAATCGGGTGCCAGTAGCTGGGTTGCTTGGCCGTGGGCATATGGGTCACGAAAGGAGGGTGACAGTGACTGACTTGTGTAACATAGAGCCTTCGTCGGGAAGAGCACTAAACTTGGGAGCTCAATGCCGAACACGGAACTCCGTCTCTCCTTCAACTACCTCCCGGTCCTCCTGGTCCAGCCTGACGACATGAGAGTGCCGAGGGCCCTGGTCGACATCCTTGAGGAAGCTCAAGATGGCCTCGTGGTCGCCCTGCGCCTCGCCTTCGACCTGAGCTTCATGAGTCAACTGCTAAGTCGAGAAGACTGGGGAAATAATGCGCGCTCGCACCTTATTGCTGTCGGTATTGCGTACCCATCCCGTGAGCTTGTACTCGGCCGCTCGCTTTTGCGTGAAGTAGCTTGAGCAGGTGTGAGTCACAACTTCGGGCTGTTGTAGGACAGCGGTGAATACTCATACCGGAAGCCGACACCTGTAACCCGTTAGCTTTTCAGTTTATGGCTGCGTTCCGTCGGTAACTTGGACTCACCTTGAACCATGCCTCCGTGAGCGAGGAAGTAGACCTGCTCAAGCCATCAGTCTTACAGGAAGGGAGCTGCGTTCAATCCAACGTACCCGTTTGTGGCTGGACATCTTGACAGTTCAGCTGATGGCTACTTTTACGCCTTCTGTAGATGCAACTGAAAAACAGACGAAAGGAAGAAAATACTAGGATCAATGCCTCCGACGAGGTTCGATGAGTCGGGAGTGAAGTTAGCGAAGGGTTCGGGGTGAAGGCTCAGGTACATACCTCGGTGATGTCACCACGCTAAGTGCTCAAGTGTAATGCATCACGATAAGCGATAAGCAATCCCACATTTAGCCGTCGATTTGCCGCTCCGGCAGGTGGTCTAGAACATCTGCGCTCGTAACAACACCTTCCAACAAACAACATCACGATATATACACAACGCCAGACAGAGTCTAATACAACGACATACTTGCCCAAGCATGGACTCGACAACTACACAAGCACCAGCGGAGCCGCAGATGCCGGCTTTCCGACCTGGAAAGAAGCGAAAGATCTACAGACAGCGCGCCGAAGACGCTGACGATGCGCCACTCGAAGCGCCTGCCACGACATTCGAACCTGCTTCCACATCAGATCCGAGACCGACAGAATATGCCACACCCACAGCCGACACCGAAGAGCACGTCTCGCTATCCGCAATCCGCCGACAAGCGCGCAAAGGCCGACTAGGCGGCGTCGCCTTCCGAGCAGGCTCAGCGCGAGCGGACGAGCAATCCGACAACACAGAACAGTCCCTTGTTATACATGATGGGAGCGCCGAAACCCCAATAGTGGGTGGGATAACGAAGCGCTTCGCCCCCCAGACCGGTATGGTAGGCGAGTTGATCAACAAGCATATGTGAGTTTCCCCTTCTTCTACGCTGAGGTGCAAGGTAGTGAGTGAACGGTGGCTGACCAAGGAAGGGAGGAATACATAGAATCAGAACTGGCTAAGCGACACGCTGCTGAGGCGAGGGCTGCGGCCATCGCTAATGGCGAAGCACCACCACCTACCGAGTCGGCTACGAACCCGGCGGCGACGACAGAGCCGACAGGGAAACAGACCGCGCAGCCTGAGATGCAGGGCAAGCTCATGGAGATCGACCTTGGCGACGAGGCGAGGGCGCGGAATATTGCCATGACGGAACGCGCGAGGAGAATAGCCCTGGGCGAGGCCGTTGACGATGAGGATAGCGGCTCGTCGAGGCCGAGGAAGGTGCGGCTCGGACGAGATGGCAAGCCCTGGAGGGGTAGGAAGAGGAGGAATAGCGAGGATGTTAAGAGGGATCAGCTTGTGGAGGAGTTCTTGAAGGAGAATAGACGTGGGTTCTTCATTTCCCCCTTTTACATCTACCCAATTACTGACACAGTGACAGTGGACGTCTACGACATGCCTCGCGAACCGCCTGCAGCAGCTAATCCGAACCTTGACGACGAGGGCGCAGACGAGAAGATCGCGGAGGAGTTCCGGCGCCAGTTCATGGACGCTGCGATGCAGCGCCAGCAGCGCAAGCGACCGGCCTTGAACGCGAAGCCCCCTGCCCGGGGAGCTGTGGCTGAGGAAGTGCTCAAGGGCCCGAAGTTGGGCGGCAGTCGGAACCAGAGGGCGGCTATGAGGGATATCTTGCTGAGACAGCAGGAGGGGAAGAGGTAATGGCTCTCGGCGGTTAGATGGTTGGCTTCTTGGGTGCTGTGCCTGGATGTTGGCTATGATGTTGGTTATGGTCTTGCATAATGATATTTCAGCGAAGGGACAGTCACGTGCTATGCTTCTTGCAGTGGTTACCGAAATAGGAAATCTCGGACGTTGTGATCGGTGCCTGGCTGTCAGCAATAAGCGGAAAATATCGTGCATGAGCCCTCCTCATGCTTGCGCATCCTGCAGTGAGCATCAAGTCGTATGATCGATATTGTGAGTCCATCTCGTCGATCTCCTCCTGCTATACAAGTGCTCATTAACATACAGGTAGCCTCGTGTTGAAGATTGAGACAACTCGCATTGACTTCAACATTCACAGTTGGTTCGAAAAATCCAGAAGAAGGTTAGCGAGCAATGCGGGACGAAGGCGCGCGCTAATGCAGCCCAGTGGTCAGCCGCAGTTTGTCCATGAGGGAGGTGGGGTTCACCAGAGCGAGAATAGCTCAGCCCCTGTATCTGACAGAGGGCACAGTTCTCAAAGTACTCTTACACACTGTCGTCTCGCAGCAGGACTACCCGCTGAGCACTGTGCCATTTCCCTGCTACACAGTAACCCTTGGTCAAAACAACCCGGCCGGCAGTGGACGTGGCGCATTTTGTCCAATGGCGCTCATCTCTGTTACGCCATGTTGGGATTCGGCATCCGTTTCGAAAGTCCCTTTCTCTCACCAACATCAGCGTCTAAGCGCATCAAAGAAACAAAGGACTGGCGATGCTCAAGGGGAAAAGAGACGAGCAGAACCGCAAACTGAGGTCAAGTCGAAGATGCATTTTTTGGCCGATCAGGAAGACACCAAGTGGTTGTCCAACCCTCCAACGTGGCCAGACCACCTCATCAGTCGATAATGTGTGCAACATCCCCAAGGATCTGGTTGGTGAGGCTGCGCCTCCAGACCCTACCTCCTCACCCTCGCAGCCTGACCGGGCGTGGCTTGCAGAGTTGCAAAGCTGGGCGATCATGAAGCGAGTGAACAAGTGCCAGCGAGCGAGCCTTTTCCGTTTCCTCTCCTCCCTTTTTGCTCTTTCTTCCCCTCACAAGTGCGTCCCTCCTGCACCGCCGCCTGTCCAACCGCGCAACGCCCTTCCTTTCTTGTCCCCAGCTAGGTAGGTTGGTGTCACATCCTGAGAGAGGGGGGCTGTTGTGCGCCGTTGCTGACCTGGCCCAAACGCACCAGCCCGGCCAACAAACCCAATAGGGACCCCTGCATCGTTCCTCTTTCTTTTCCCCTCCTCTCCTGTTTGTGCTTGTTGTCTCTTCTCTCTCTGCATACTGTGAGGAGAGGCGGCTTTCCGACATACACAAAGTGGAAACGACGAGAAAGTGGTGATGCGAACGGCTTAATACCACTTTTACAATATCACGAACTGGTCGAGATAACACAGAACGATATCACGCGATGCGAATACCGCCGACGTCAATATGGCTCGTCGCAGCCTCGTCAGTTTGGACCGTGAGGGGAGAAACTATAGGCTGGAGTATGGCCAACTTCACAACAAACGGCGTGGATAACGGCGCTGTCTATCTAGTCCCTTCGCCGACAAGCTCCGGCACCCAACCCGAGCGACGTGGCTTTAGCTGGATCATCAATGAAGCCACCGTCAAAGAGGGGCGCGGTATACTCGTCGTTCAGGTCAACTTGTACGTCGACGACGTGCTCAAGGCGACTGTACCGGCAGTTAAGTCAGGCAAATTTCCAACGCCGACCACGATAGGCAACCTCGCAGGCGGCGGCATCGTCTCCACGCTGACGGACTTTGTTGGACAGCAGGTTCCCGCGATATCTGCCCCGCCGAATCCGAACCCGAAGCTCTCTAAACCATTCGTCACACACCCAGCCATTCCAACGAAGAGAGGGCGCGACGATGGGCTTCTCCTGTTGACTTCTGTCCCGGATACCGTCGAGGCTGCCGCGGAAGTGCCAGTCCAGTTCAGTGGTAAGAGAACCATGGGTATCGGCGTTCTGATCATAAGCTCACCAAATGTCTAGCTGCTACGAAATTCGATAGTGGAAGCGTTGAATTTTTTGATATGGCCCAGCTCCTACCATACCAAGGCAAGAAAATGTATTTCGAGCTCAAGTGGCGGGACACGATGTCGCCTGAGAAAGGCTTCATGTACAGCTACAGCCGCGCATTCACCGTATTTTCGGCAGACCCACAGTTGCAGGAGCAAGCTCGCAGGGTTGCTGGCTCGGCGCCGTACAATGTCGAGGCGCCCGTCAAATTGGAAAGGGCTGACGGTGACGTCGACAACAGCGGCGGTGGTGGTGGCGGCAGCAGCCTTGTCCCCGTCATCGACCGGTCTTCAACCGAACAACCCTCGACGATGACCGATGGCTTCAATTCACCCATCCAAGTGACCTGGATAACCACCGCCCCACAAGGCGATGCAACAGCGTCTGTTGGCGCTGACCCTGGCCTCCCCGGTTCCGCAGCGGAACCAGGCACATCGAGCCGCTCCTCCTCCCAACTCTCAACAGGCGCAATAGCAGG